CCTCGCTCGCAGGCTGACGGCCGGCGCTCGGGAGCGCTGCGCTGCCCCCGGCCCGAGCTGTCAGGAAATACCTCCGGGGGGCACCGCGGCGGGGTCCCCGGTGCCTGTGGGAAGAAGCGTTTTCAGTTTCAGACGGTGGGATTTCGGCAGAGTTCAGTTCCTGATAAACTAGGAGAGTTGTTATTTGCGAACCATCTCTCCTGGAGTCCTACAAATAACTTACCTTCTCTGGTTTGAATTACGATACGAGATATGAATTCTCTTGTAGTCATTTTAAATACTTTAAAAGGTGTAGTTTAGACATCTTTATTCTTGCCCTGAAAGCCTGTGTTAGAGTTTCCTTTACGGCAGAGTCATACATCTTAAAGTGATACTGGAGTTCTGTTGAGTGCTCTACAAATGCTCTGGCAAACTTCTCAAGGTAACTACGAGATAGATCCTCTGAATAAGTCGATTTTCTGAACTCTGGGATTAGGAAATCCCTGCAGAGCTTTTCTGAAGACCTTGTGGTCACTTTCAGTTTTGGCAGTTTCAAAGTTTCAGAACAGGATTTTTTATTTATTTGAAATGGCAGAATCTTTATTTCAAGCTTAGATGGCTTTTGAAAACGGGGAGATAGAGGCACACACAGTCTTAATGCATTGACGTGAGGATTTTTTTATCCTCTGAAAAATTACTAATGTCATATATACTGCAGATACTGTGCTCCTTTATATTACCATACTAATTCACTGTGAATTTTTAAAAACTAAGATTTATGTTGAACTTTTATAGCCATGCAAGAAACGGCGAGAGGAAGATAATTCTGTAAAAACAATCACAAGATATTTTTCACCATTAGCAAAACCAGTGGATAAAGTGTTGTCGCCACCAAAACCCAACAATATATTGGATTATTTTAAAAAGACATCTGTAACTGAGAAAGCTACATTACCAATTGTAGCTGGAGAAAATAAAACACCGCTGGATGCTGATGACAAAGACTGTAAGTCACCTTTTGAACAACCTTTAAAGAGGAAGAGGAAAGGGAAGAGAGTTAATTTAAATAATAAGCTAAGAGAGATGAAAGAATCTGAGAATGAACATGAAATAAAAGTTAGTAGTGATGACAGCAGAGAAACAACAGGACTGAAACAAAACAGTAATGATTCTATTGCCACTTGTACTTTAGTTGACCAAAAATGTGCAAGAGAATCAGCAGAAGATAATGTGCAAAGAGAAAACTTCTCCAGTGTTGTCATCTACAGAAAAAATGCGAAGAAAGTTGGTTTTGAAATGAATGGAACAAAAAACAGGGCAAGAAAATCAAGGAAAAGGAAACACAATGTAAATATGGATTTGTCTGAAAGTTTTTCATCTGAAAACCAGCTGAATGAAAAGCAGAAAAAGGAAACTGAAGATAAGAAAAAGGGGGTATCTCCTACAATAGCAGAGTGTGCCGCTACTATTAGTGACTCCAGTGTTGAACTTCAAGCGGATGATAAGACCTCACAGGTCAATAATAGTATAATAACAGTGTCATTTGAGGACTTCTTGAAGAGTCAGGGAGAAAATATTGTAGATCACGTTGAAGACACAAAGCCAACAATGGACAATTCTGCTACAGCAAATGAAATGGACAAAAGTGGTAGTGTGAGTGACCCAGAAAAGTGTGAGGAATCTCAACAGCTGCCACTTAGAACAGTAACCGTCCTTGCACAAGTTCATTCCATTCCCCCCAAATTATCTCTGTTACACAAGGAGCAAAAAGGCTCCAGGAAAATAGCTTCCATTTTTTTGAAGCAGAAAGGATGTGTAGGGGAAAAAGAAAGTAGCCCACCCTTCTTGGACAGTGAACAAACTGAACAGGTTACTCAGAAAAGAAAATCTAATGTGGTTATTGAGGAAGAAGAACTGGAATTAGCTGTACTAGAGACTGCAGGGTCAGATTCTTTGAAGCCAAAATGCACTCTGGAAGAAAGGCATCAGTTTATGAAGGCATTTAGACAACCAACGTCAGATGTTATAAAAAGCGGAGTTAAAAAGGCGCCTGGAAAACAAAAGCAAGCCATTGGAAAGTCTTCTAAAGAAAAAGAAGGACCTGAAGGTGACATTGCCTCAAATAAAGGATTAGAAAGTGGAGTACCAGAAGATTATGTGGATAAATATACACATTCTAGTCCTGACAACAATAGAACTAAAATCAGAAGACCTAAAAACTTTCAGAAAAAAGGAAACAGAAGAAGGAAGGCTTCAGAAACTAAGGAAACAAATGTCTCAAACACTAGCAATTATAATGAAGATGAGAATTCAGGAGCTAACGTTCTTACTGAGGAAAACACCTTAGATGTGAGACTTTCATCAAGTCCGAAAGCGAATGACTTAAGGAGGAGTTTGAGGCAGAAGAAAATCAAAACATCAAAAAATGTTACACCTAAAAAACCCAAGATTAGAAATACCTTTTCTGAAGATGAATTAAGTGGCTGTCCTTTTCAGACTTCTACCCCAAAAGCAAGCAAGCACTCCTTGAAGAAAAGCAATGTGTATAAAGCCGAGGTGATTACCGTGCCCTTTGATGGAAACAGCCCAATAAGGTAAACGTTTTAGAGTATATTCTACCTTTTTGCACTTGGTTTTCCTGCAAGTATTTTAAGAGTAAGACGTAATTATAGATTGATTGGAATGCCTAACAGAGGTGTATTAATAGTAATTGTGGTGGGTATTAATATGGAAGAACCAAAGCTGACTCTATAAAGGTGCTTGCACTAAAGACTTGAAAAAAACCAAACCAACAACAGAACAAAAACAACAAAAAAATGCAGCTGCCAGATGCTTCTGTTCACAGCACTGTATTTTTAAAAGCTTTTGAAAATGAGATTGAGAGTAACATTTCCCTTTATTAAAAAGTAATAATTTTCTAATCCTTTTTTCACTAATTAGAATGAGGTTTACACGTATCAATGCGACTACAAAATCAAATAAAGCTGAAGCAATGAAAAATGAAGAGTTTAACTCCAAACACACAAAGGTAATTTATATAACGGTGTTTCAGTATTTTTGTCATTTAATATATGCATAGAATTGTGTGAATATTCAGTATTGTGTAATAGTCTAATGTAAAACAATATGAGAGTTCTCAGATGCCCTATGGAAAGAGACTATTGCTGTCGTTTACAATAGAATTTGAGAGTTTCCTGTACAGTTATTGTACCTTAGATTTTAAAATATGTTTTATTAATGTAAATCTACTTTGGATAACATAACAGAAAAAGCCAATCAAATAGTATGCTGATGTTCTGCAGGCTCACAGGATGGGACATAGGGTCTGGGCACAGCTTATGCTTAAGAACATTGCTGCCCATATTTCATTTGTTCTGTGGACAAATTGGAGGATCCCTTTGTTGGGTTCTAGCTCCTTTTTGAAAAGTATTTTTATCATCTTGCTTTGCTCCTCCTTTCCGTTATTTTGTTTTCTTTGATACAAATCAAATTTTATAAAAATCATACGCTTTTACGAATATGAAAAATCACATTAATATGTGAAATACTTACCAAATGTATTGCTATTAATTGCTAGGTATGTTGGTTCTTTGTACTTTGTTAACAGATAAGCTCTACTTCTAAAAATATATCCAAAGCAAAACAGCTGATTGAAAAAGCAAAGGCTATGCGGCATAATAGATCAAAGGTTACTGAAGACTTACAGCCTCCTGTGAGGCGCTCATCTCGGCAGCGAGCTCTTGCTGAAAAGAAAAAAATACAAGAAAATGAAGTAAGCCTGTTTACTTTATAGGGGAAAAACAAAAAAATACGTTTTTGTAATTCATTTAAGCAACAAAGATGTTTCTTATCTTGCAAACATTTATTTTAAAGTGTCAAATAAGGTAGATATCTGTGCAATGGTATGGAAGTGTCAAATAATAAAGTAAGTGCCAGGCATAGACTGGAAAGCTCATCCCAATGCAGATCTCTAAAATGCAGCAGATGCTCACGCTTTAGAGGTGTCTCTTTCCTAACGGACAGCAAGGTGTCTGTTTCAAATGTGTATGTTTTAAACATTTAAATTTAGATGAGAGTAATTCTGGCCTTCATTTATATATTGGAGATCATACTTTATATACTACTTCTGTGCAGACAACAGTAATAAAGTACTGTATAATCTCCAAATTAGATTTGCTAATTTCTAAGCTCTTTAGCAGTTTATTTGTTTTTTTCAGTACTGATTACTAAATTGTTAATAAAGGAGGAAAAGTTGTGTCTCCTTTTTTATTTTATTTACTTTCCCTCTAGGAATCGGTAATAATTTTAGATTCCAGTCTGAGTGATACCACTCCTACAGTGCAGAATGTGAAGCAAAAGAATCTTCGGAGTTTAAATGATGTTTTGGGGAAAAAGTCTAGAAACTTGAAGGTTGTGAAGAACTCAAATGGTAATTGTGTTTTACTGAATGTGTTTAATTTTTATTACAGTTATTGACTATTACAACTTTATTTTATAAAGCTGCTTTTGCAGTACTTTCATCTTCTGATTTATTTTTTTTTATTCCAATATATACCTTTTATTTTTATGACACGAGTTAATAGTGCAGACATTATTTACATGTGCTGTTTTTATTTTTCTTCATTCAGGGAAAACTGAAAAACTGCCAATAGTATACCATGTTTTGTTGTCTTCTAACTTAAGGTTGTTGTTTTTAATATTACAGAAAATAGCATCTATAGTGATGAAATAACTAGAAATAAAACTAAAATGAATTTTGTTAAAATATTCAGCTTTCCCTTAAGAAAAGGAAGTTCCCTAATGTTAAACGGGACATGGTGAACTGAGAAGCAAGGTTAGAATCCTATATTAGTGCTAATCTTACCATGATTTTTTTTCTTTTTAAAGGAAAACTGGGATATCCACCTTCCTTCCTAGGCAGAAATGCTCAAAACTCTGCAGGTGAACCAATTGTGATCTTTGATGAAAGCAGGTCAGTTTTCAAGATTGCAATTGCTTAAGAATCAAAACAGATTTCAAGGTTACTTTAACATTCCCTCATTTTACAAATTTAAATACACTTATTGAAATGTGAAATAAATGTTAATGGGTTTTATACTGATCAATATGTTAATCTGCTTGCAAAGTTTTGAGGTTTTCTTGGAGAGTTGTTTCCTCAACCATTGTTGAGACATTTTAGATGGTTGAAAATGTAGTTGATGACTGATTAAAAAGAAATCCTAAATTGCATATAAAAATACAAAACCAGAGAGGATTACTTTTTTAATTAAAATCTCTTAACACAAAATTTAAAATTAAATGTAAACTTACTACATTTAAATGAATTTTAGCAGTTCTCCCAGACTATTTCTAACCCGTGTGTAGAACTGAATGTGATTAAATTCTGTTGTAAGCCTTACATAGCTGGTAGTTCTAAGGATTATTTTTCATTTCTATTTTCATTAAAGCCAAGATGCATCTGAAAATTCTCAAGATGATGGTCAGTTCAGAGCAAAACGTGAATTCTTGATGAGTGGATTGCCAGAGTCACTGAAAAGACAGATTGCAAAGAAAGCAGCAGCAATGGAAGCGTACTCTCTTGCAAGTTCATGTTTTAAGACTGTTGTCCACGTACAGCAGAAGGATGACTGTAAGCTTTTGTTCAGCCTTTGTGTAAATGCATATACTAATTTCTAGTCAATCTGTGCAGAAAAAAAAACCCAAGCTTGAATAGCAGAACTTAGTATTATGTTTGGAATAATTCTTTTGTTCCCTCTTGTTTTGTTTTGAAGTAAGAAAACGAAACTTACAAGCTTCCAGTGACAAGTTTCTGAATTACAATTTACAAATTTACAGTTTACACAATTTACAAATTAAATTTATGCTAAAAGAATGTATACATTTCTGTGTGAGGATGCAAAATCCTTAATACTTAGTAAAAAAAATTAGTCTTTCAAGTTCCAGTTTGGAGAAGAAAGATCATGTTGGACTGATTGGGGCAGAAACCATTTCCTTCTGACAAAGGCAAAATATTTCTCAAACGAGTAAAGAACAACTCAGTTCTTTCCACTAAATGAGGGAGTGCACTACAGTGGTCTTGTGAAAGGGCATGACAGGAGAGCAGAAGGTAGAATAGCCCTTTACAGAGTTTTTATGGCAAACAAACCAATAAACAAACAAAGTCCTTGGTAAGCATCTGTCCTACCTGGTGAAGTGAGACCTGGTGAGGGCACAGCTCGGTATTTAGAGCAAGCAGAGTCCAGGAGCAACTTACTGGAGAAATGCAAATATGTTGTATTCAAAAATGTGCAAATTTATTCTGCTCGTGGGAGGTGGAATTAATAAAGATAAAAAGTTGATGCAGTGTAAGTTAAATAAGCTTGGCTTTGACAAGATAAAGCTGTAGTCAAAAAAGCATTTACTCTTACTTACTGTGGGATGGTTTTGTCTGTGACTGTATCTCTGTTTTGTTAACAAAAGTCTCCTGTTGTTTTTTTTCTGGTCGGGGTTCTTATGTAGGTTATCCAATGTGGAAACTGAAATCACCATCATGTCCTTTATTAACTAAGCTAAGGAAACTGAATACTGAAGTCACTAATGTCACAAAAATCACTCTCTCACTTGGTGAATTTTCCACTGTGAATTCAAAACTAACTGGAAACTGTTCTGCACCTGTGGTTAGTACTTTAAAATGGGGGCTTGGGTTACAAGAAGAATGGAAATATAACTGAAGTTGTTTTGTTACTGGTTAGGACTTCTGTTGTCTTAAAAAGCCCTGTAGTTTGAATCTGTGCCAGTCCTGGATTTTGGGGGTTTTTTTCTTATGTGTGATTTATCCTTTCTGCATTAGAACACAGACAATTGTCAAGGCTTTCTGTTAATCTAAGGTGTTTAACATGACAGCTACTAATTTAAATTACACAAAATTCATTGTTATTCTGTGTAATGTTTTTGAGTAATAATTTTATTTGTGTGTGTGTGTGTGTGTGTTACAGCTCACTGAACACCGAACAGTTTTTCCTGATATATTCAAGAAAGATTTACTAGATGAGATCATGTCTTCTAATTCTCAATTTCCTGTGAGAAAATACTTCTACAAGTTTCTGAAAAAGCAAACGGAACGGTTGGGTTTTGAAAATAGTGTACAAGGTTAGTAATCAACGTAGGAAAAAATAAACACTCACACTCTCTCTGGCATAAAAAGGTGACTTGGAATTTCCAGAAATGTTTCAGTGAAAGAATAATGTTGGAAATAAATTGGTAATTTTGACCAAATTCTTCATATCCAATTTAAACAAATGGACAGGTGTAATGGACATAGCTGGAAATTTTAAAAGCATGTAATTTTTCTTCTTTCCTTAGAAAACAGAGATGGCACTGCAAATTCTGAGGTAAATCGAAAACATTCTGACAATTGGAAAGAAACTAAGAGGAAAAGGAAAGAAACAGAAGACCACAAATCAAAAAGAAGGAAACAAATTGAAAGTAGAGAGACTGAAATAAAATCCAGAGTTTCCAGGAACCTTATTTCTCCTGGTTCTGGAGGAAAACAAGCAGAGACAGGACAAGCAATGCATTTGGGAGAAAACAAGACCCAGAAGCCAGATGTTGTGACAGTAGACAGTGAATATTTATCAGAGCCAAATGCATTTTCAGGTAACTCTGCATTTCCTGTCTGATTTTAATTCTCTCTGCATTGAGGGAATGTATATGTGATGTATGTCAGCTTTCCACTGTGATGCAAAAATCATATCTAGTCTTATTGTTCTACTAGACTTGATCAACTCTTTTGCATGAAGAACTATTTAAAAATGGATAATATTTTTTCTGTAGGTGTTGAAAAGGAAGACATGCTCTGGACAGAAAAGTATCAGCCTCAGGATTCCAGTGAACTTGTAGGGAACAAGAAAGAAATTGAAAGGCTACACAGGTCAGAAGTAGGAGCATGGATCCATTATTAAAATAACTCAAAACATCCTATTTACTTGATTATGCTCAAAGAAGTGAAGTCAATTATTTTACACTATACTTGAATAACACTTACAGGGTGTATGCTTGTGGCCTTTGCTTTGGTTTACCTCCAAAAAGTTGCAGAAACAAATTGTCAGTTGGTGTGAATGAACTTTTGGCTGTTTTTTCTTTTTCAGTAATACTTTGGTAGCTTGTATGGCGTGATACAAAACAATGATATGTGAAGTGCTACATTGAGAGAGTTGGGGCTGTTCAGTCTGGAGAAGAGAAGGCTCTGGGGAGATCTTATAGTGGCCTCCCAGTACCTGAAGGGGCTACAAGAAAGCTGGGGAAGGACTTTTTACAAGGGCAGGGAGTGATAGAACAAGGGGAAATGGGTTTAAACTGGAAGAGGGGAGGTTTAGATGAGATATTTAAAGAAGAAATTCTTCACTGTGAGGATGGTGAGACACTGGCCCGGGTTGCCCAGAGAAGCTGTGGCTGCTCCTCCCTGGAAGTGTTGAAGGCCAGGCTGGATGAGGCTTTGAGCAACCTGGTCTAGTGGAAGGTGTCCCTGCTGCTGGCAGGGGGGTTGGAACTGGATGAGCTTTAAGGTCCCTTCCAACCCAAACCATTCTATGACTATGATTAGGCTGTGGGATAAAATTAAATACTTAAGTAACTAATGCCCTTATAATTTTAGTAAAAATTACTTTTTGTCAGGTTATTTAAGCTTACACACTATGAATGAGAGATAACAACTTACTGGTACTTGTCTGTACCTCCCTACAAGCATGTTTGATCCTGATCTTGATGCACTGCCTCTGCTTTTGACAGTAATTTAGCGCTCAAGTCCATCTAATATATTGTGCTTTCAGTTAAATTTTCTGTGTGGGTTTAAGTTATTGTTGTGGCTTTTACGCAGAATTTAAAGATCCATCTGACAAACAACACTAAACTATGAATTATGTAGTATTTTCCACAGTTTAAGTAGTTTGCTAAGTGACGTGTTTTTGTACCAGTCAACTAATAGAATGGAGAATGAAGGAGAAATCATTTTTACAAAAGAATCAAACCCTGAACAACTTATTTTTTTTAATCTGAAAGGACTTGATAAGTTTCTGAGAGGGATAACAAGTGGCTGATGTCCTATCATTTTATGTTCTGTTCCATCTGAGTTTGGTTCACTTTATTCAGCAGTAATTTTTTATTTTTTTGTTGTGTTCTTTTTATAGTTGGTTAAAAGAATGGAAAAAAAGAGCTGATTGGGAAGAAAAAAGAAATCAGAAAGGGGAAAAGGAGGACAAAGAGCATCAAGGTGCTGATAGAACTAAAAATAATATATAGCTTCTCTCTGTTAAAGTGGGCATAAAAATGACATGAATTGATAATGGTTTGAACAATCCTTTCTTTTCTTTTAAATAATTCTACAGATTCTTTGGACAGTCTTGACTTTAAAGATAATAAATCTGATACTGAGGAGGAGACTAGCCTTTGCAATACAGTTCTGATAACTGGCCCACCAGGAGTGGGGAAAACTGCTGCAGTATATGCCTGTGCTCAGGAGCTTGGTTTTAAGGTTTGTGGAGTCCTTTCCTCAGTGCTATTTTTCTTATTTGTAACTAGTGATATGAAAGTATTTGTAATACAAGATGTCTTTTTTTTTTTTTTTTAATGTAAATTAAATACCATTGCAGATATTTGAAGTCAATGCCTCTTGCCAGCGTAGTGGTAGACAGATACTGTCTCAATTAAAAGAAGCTACTCAGTCTCATCAAGTGGACAAAAAAGGCATTAATGCACATAAGCCTTGCTTTTTTAACAGTTGTAGCAGTGCCAAGTCACCAAGTAAGTTTCATGGTTATATCTGGGGGTTTGTTTGTTTGTTTGGTGTTTTTTTGGGGTTGTTTTGCTGGGGTTTTTTTAGGAACTGAGTTCCCAAAACAAATTTTAGACATCAGTTCTTAAACTGAAATTTGCTAAACTTTTTTAATCTGGACATAATAAGAAGAAATGCTGTGTTTGTTGGTTAATATAACTACATACTAATTGAAATAATGACTTTATCCAAATGACTGACTCTTGATTATCTTCAGTTATTTTTGTAGTGGTGGAGTAAGTGCTATGGCACTTGGATAGGAAGTTGAAGAGAAAACATTCCCTATAACAGGAGAAAAGTATAATAGGCAAAAATCAGCACAGGAAACCTGTCCTATACTAGATACAAAACTGGGATTTGCTGTAAATTTGCCTGAGAAATGTCAGTTTGAGATTACATTTCCAGCTTAAGTTTAATAAAACATATCTTGCAGAAAAAATGTATTCTCCGAAGAAAGTTATTTCACCTAGAAAACCTCCACTGTCACCAAAAGGAGCAGGATTAAAACGAAGCTTACCCCCTAAAACACTTGCAAACTATTTCAAAATTTCATCCAAACATAAAGGTAATGATGGAGCAGTAACATCACAAGAGAAAAATAAAGGTAGGTATCACTATTTAATAATTAGTTACCTTTGGAGATGGAAATGTTATGCTGCACTACTATATGTGTGGAGCAGAGCACATTTATTACACGCTAACGGCTGGCAAGAGTTACTTATTGCATCTCAGATACCCTTTACAAAGGAAGTAGTCGTTACTCTCTATTACAGGAGAGTTAACGAGGGTACAGACCATCTGAAGTTCAGTAGGGTTTCCTTAGTTTTTTAAGTTGGGGAGTTTTTTCAGAGCATTTAGGTAAGAGAAAATTAATTGAAAACTGTAGAAAAACACATCTTTATATTACCTCAGTGCCTGTTTCAGACTGGTGTGGAATGGTCACTGTGCTACATGTTGTGTGTGTGTATATATATATATATATATATATATCAATATATATCAAAATTACTGCCACAGAAGAGGTCCTGTAAAGCCAATAAATGTTTGATTACGGGCTGTGGATCTTAATACACAGAAAGGCACACTGAAATCTTTTGAGTCTCTTAATATTGAAAGGTGTATTTCCAAATGTTTCATGGGATCAGGAAGTCTTAAAGACAGGTTTTCTAGAAAGGAAATAATATATTTGGACAACTTGTATTTTTGCATGGATAGTACAGAGGAATGCACAAGCAAAGTGCTCAGTTGAATTGGGGCAATTGAGTCTAGTCCTTGTCTTTTCAGGCAATTGTATTGTATCGATTTGAAAGACTTTGTCTACTCCAAGCACCTGGGACATCATAGGTCACAAACAAGTTAGGTGCAGAATTAATTTTACAAATAGTCAGTCCTTCACCAAACACTGTTGAATTGCCAGCAAATTTGTTGCATTTTTTTTTTAAACAGGAGACAGCAGAAAGGGATGTGGGTCAGATTTCTAAGTTTTTGCATCAGTGTAGATGAAACAGTTTTTATACATTGGGGTGTTTTTGAAACCAGTGTCTAGAATGCATATTAAATGGTTTCAATCCTCCTTTACTTCCTGCTCAATTCTTCACCCATCTGCAGGAAATACTCAGCATTCACATGAAGTAAAGAAAGATGCTCCAATTAAGTCAATAAACAAAGAAGTAGAAGGAGGAGAACCCAACAGAAAAAGTGCAACATCTCTCATTCTTTTTGAAGAGGTAAAATTAATGTGAAATATATTGATGTGAGCAAGACATCCCTTCATTATGTTTAAAGAATTTAACTTTTTGGTTTTTCCTTTCCTCCTTGAGACTTCTAGGTAGATTCAAGTATCAACTTCTTAAAAATTAATTCATTAATGTTTAATGATTTCATCCCCATGAGTACTTTTTTAACCATGAATCATTATTTTACAAAGTTATTTTAAAAGATGAAGAAACTATCATCTATTAACGGTTGTTCACTGTTGGAACAGTTTGCAGGATTTTGCTAATTTAATTCCTTTCATTATGCCAAAAGTGTTGATTTATAATTTTACACTACTTACATGCACTGAGACACTTTAAAAGTCACTATTAACACTTCAGTAATTGCAATATATAAGCCTACATTAAGTTCTTCTCTTCTTTAACCTCTTGTCCAAAAATATCTTTGAGTCTTAAACTAAGAATACAGAATTGCAGCCAAGAATGTAATTTTAAATAAATAAAGGAGGTATAGCAGTGTTGTCAAATGTGGGTTGATCCTACAGATCACTGATGCAATTCCATTCAAAAGAGAAAAACAGACTTCAAAAGGCACCTGGACATGGTCCTGGGCAACCTGCTCTGGGGTCCCCAGCTTGAGCAGGGAGGTTGGACATACTGACCTCTAGAGATCCCTTCCAACCTCAACCAGTCTGATTTTGTAAGCTTCAGCACAGAAGGCTCTGATTGAAATGTTGTGTGCTAAGGAGTGAACTTTACTTGAAGCACATATACTGTCATTGCATGCTCGAGAAATCTGGATTAATGTTGAGTCTTAATCATGAACAGTATTACTGCATTCACAGCTTGTAGCTATCGATAAAGCTGTTAATATTTTGCACTTCATTTGTTTTCTATAGGTAGATATAATATTTGATGAAGATGCAGGATTTCTAAGTGCAATAAAGACATTCATGGCAACTGCAAAGAGACCTGTAATTCTTACTACCAATGGTGAGCAGTGTTTGTTACAGTAATGGGGCTTTACAGACAGAAGGGTCGTTTTTAATAAGTTGGTTTAAATGGTGATAGTTGAATAACTCTCCTAAATGTAAAATTAAATTATTTGAGATAATAAAGCAAGTATTTTAATATTTGAATAAAGATATTGGCTGCTCAAATGGGTAAAGAAAATAATTAGTTTTTAATTTGATGATGTGACAGTTCACTGAAATCTCTTTGTATAGATCCAACATTCAGCTTACTGTTTGATGGCTATTTTGAAGAGATCAACTTTAGAACTCCTTCCTTGGTAAGTCTGTGTTTGCAAATGCAGATACATCCTAAGCAAGTAATTGTCAGCTAACTTAAACACAGAATTTAAATGTTGGTGTAGGTTTATATTTATCTGATGTAATCTGTTTAAATCAGAAGAGTATTTTGGGGGGGTTTTATGCAAGGGTGTCTAGGATGTATTTATCTTTACATGTAGAACTCTTTTTACTGGCATGGAAGATTTATTTTCTTAATCACTTAGTATTTCAGAGAATTACAGTAAGAACATCACTTCATCACTTAATTTAGTTTTTAGGATGTAGTAAATACTTTCATAGATAATGTATCTAATAGTTCTGATCTGAAGGCTGATTATGCCAGTACTGGTTCACTCCTTAAAAAGTACAGGAACTATTCTAGAAATATTATGGGTTATTCCTTTAATGTGAACACTAGTATTCTGTAAGCAAATAGTTATATTTGCAACTATGTATTATATGAAAAACCTAAATAAATGAGAACCATAAGGAACTAACTTTTGAGAAGGGGAATTTTTTTAATGAGAAATTGAAAACCTTTTCAGCTACCAGACAATTGCAGAGTTGAAAGAAAGAAAAACCTTTAAAGTTCACTAAAACCTGTTCACTGGTGATGAGAAGCAAGGAGTATGTGGTTTCAGGAATGTAGGCAAAATATGTTTGGTTTGGTTTTAATTAACTTCTAAATTTAACTTAGTTCTCTGTGGACTGTTTAGATTTGGCACATTATTCTGCTTTTCCATAGAGGTTTTAATGTAACAGTAATCTGATTTAATAAACTAATCTTCTGTATTAAAAGGAAAAATGTATTGGAAGCATAAATAGCTTGATTTGTTTCTGTGTGACTTCCTGCAGTCTGATTGGGGAGAGCTGTTTTCAGTGGTCTTTGTCTAACTTTTGTTTAGATGAATGCTGCTAGCTATCTTCAAGTGCTATGTCTGGCTGAGAATCTACGAACAGATGTAAAAGACTTAGCTGCTCTCTTAACTACAAATAACTGTGATATCAGACAAAGTGTTCTCTACTTACAATTTTGGGTTAGAAGTGGAGGTGGATGTTTGAAAGACAAATGTTTGGCACATCACGGTAGGTTAATTTTAATTTAATGTAAAAAAAAAATTCTCCATCTTAACATGAATTTGATTAAATCAAACCATTCTTAGACATGTATGAATAGATGGTAACTTTCTGTAAGACTCCTAAACATTTGGGTAGGGTTTTGGGGTGGAGATTTTTTGTCTGCTTCAAAGCCTTGTATATCATTTGCTTTTACTGCACCTGTTTTATTACCTGTCATTATAGTACTTAATTATCTCCCTTTCCTCTTCTGAGTAGCAAAATTGGGCAGAGCGGGGAGCCAGTAGTAGTTTCCCTTCAACTCAGAGTTTGCAGTTCTTTATCCATTTAGCTGACTTGTAGGTAATTCACTAGAAGAAGCGGAACTGAAAAAAGGAGAAAAAACTGGATAGACAGCAAGGGTAAGAACTTGGTCCCAAAGGACAGAGGAAGAGTATCCTCAACAGGTGTCAGTGTGTGAGACAGCACGTGAGTGAGCGACAGAGAGAGACTAGTGGGGCATGAAAGGAAGAACAGACCATTTCAAATGGTTACTTGCTAAGAAGGGAGAGTGGGCAAGTTGGTAACACTTAAATGAAATAGGGATGATGTATGAGGATGACTAATCTCAGTTGCTCTGTTCATTCAGAACTGCAGCAAGAGGCAGCAGTTAAGGTATCCTTTATAGAAGGAACTGAGGCAAAGAGGGGAAAACTCAATTTCATGATGCAAATGTTTCTTTTCAAATAAAGCATGTTGTCTTTGTGCAGGAGGAGATGAGACAAATAAAGCAGATCATGTAATTCATTCTGGAAAAACTACTGATTCCAAGATTGATTTTTCTCAAGCTGATGCACATCTTCAGGAGTTTCCAAAATGTGATACAGGCTGTGTAGAGACATTGCTTGGCCTTAAGAATATCCTGTTGCCTTCAGAAGATTTGTTTACATTTCTTAAGGTATTTTTGTAGCTGACTAGCTAATACTTTGAATGACTGCCAGATAATTGAGTGTAATTGTCGCTATGAATAGCATCTTCTTATAAGCAAATCTCTTGAAAAGTTTTGTTGTAGAAATTAGGGGATTCTGTCATTACTCAGCAAAATCTGAACTGGGGCAGTCTCCTGCAAGCAATATAGTCCCTTGCCTCATAGACACAAAGCCAGGAGTATGACATTTTTCTGTAATAATATTTTTTATTTTCAAAAATATTTAAATATATTAATAACATTTTTCATTATTATTATTTTACAGCACAAAATCACAACCATGGAGAAGTGGAATAAACTGATGCAGCTTCTCACAGAATTCCAGATGAAGAAAGTGGATTTTATATATAATAATCTTGAACTTATTCTTCCCTTACCAGTGCAAGTTCTTTCAAACCAATCTGAAGCCTCTAACTCCGTACTTGAAAGGACTACCGTAGCTTCTTCGAAAAACAAATCTACTAACAGTTATTGCTCTAGAAAAAGTAGCCCTGGAAAAAAGTCTAAAAAGAGAAAGAACCAGAAAAGGCTTGATATATTGGATGACAGTGACTTATTTGATACTGGACTGAACTACTCAGCTGAATTCATAACTTTGCCATCAGGTAGTCCTACATCATGTGCTGAAGTGAATAAAGAGGAATCAAAATTGTTGATGAATAAAGAAGAAAAAGAAATTAAAACCTCACCAAATGAGAAAAGGTCTGCTCTTGTTTTTCAGTGTCTGAATTCACTGACTGAGTTTGTGGAGAACATGTCTTTCTTGGATTGCTGTGTAAACACTAACACCAAGGAACCACTGGAGTTTTCTAAAGATGAAGGATTTAATTGGACAAATGGCAAAATCAAAAATGGTCTTTGTGATGAATTTGGTATAGAAAATACTGATTGGTGCAGTTCCCAGAGCTGTTGTGAAATAAAGGCAACTATTGAAGCACTCAGTTTTAACAAATGTTCTGTTAATATTTCGCAAAACTTGGAATCCTCTTTGAGTGCCAGTAAAACACCTGAAAGTGATCAGCTGGAGGGACTTACTTTGCATATTTCAGACACGAGAAATTTTGTATCTTTCAGTCAGTTGGCTGATTCAAGGTAAGACTTTGCTAATATTTCTGGAATATAATGTAGTTATTTGTCAAGAAAAGCATTTCACAGGCTGTAGGATTGTTTCAGGTACTGTGTATAACATCCATACCAATATGACTGTTGTCAGTATGTCTCAAAACACTGGAATATGTTGTTCACTTTGCTTGTGTAAGCTTAAATTAACTGCTTGGCAATCTCTTTTCTTGTTTGAATAGCCTGACTGTAACGTTGTTGAGGAACGGCAGCCTTAGTCTATGTTATTTACTTTAAAAACAAACAGACAAACACCACCTTCACCCTCAAAAGAATATAAAAAACCTAAAGGAATGGCTTTTTCAAGACAGACAGATGGACTGAAATGGATTCTGCAAGTACTAGACATGCAGATTTTTCATCCAGTGCCTGGTCATTCAGCCTGTATTAAATGTGTAGGTGTTGCCTGGCGAAGACCTAACAAAATTCAGAGCAAAGTTATTGCAATTTTTATATATATTATAAAAGATCAAAGAATACACTGCTGCTAGCAAGTGTGGATATGAAAGGTTGTTTTTAACATAAACAAGTCGTCATACATAAATTGGCATAGGAGGTGAATATTCAAGTGTCTGAATAGGCAAATAGATTACTCTTACTTCTGTAAGTCGGTACCCAGAGGAGCAATGTCAGAATGGATCCAACAGTCAAACCTGTGACCAAGTTTGGCCAATATGTCATGAGTTATCCATTGGATCTGATACTGACATTCAGGCAAACACCAATCGTGATGTGTTTTATTTTTGAAGACCACAGATGCTTTCGGTTACACTGTCTGACAGATGTACTCAACCTCACATACATAACTAGATTGTGAAGATGTCCCCAGATTAGACTCCCTAGTTAAGCTAAGAGCATTGGCCAAACAAAACACTGTCCACATGTTTCTGTCTGAGTGCAGCTTTGTGGTGCACACAATCAGAAGTTGCAGGCATCTAATCCATTGGGATGTAATTTTGGACATCAGTATGTTTAACAGTTTTATACCAGTGGATTTAATCTTAAAGGAACAAAATAGGGACTGCACATTGTTGAACAAGAAACAATAAAGCTTCGTTCTCTGTTTTAGCATTCAGAAAAAAGCACAGAAGAGGCTGGCAGTCATCAGAACTGTATTTTCCAGAAGTCCTTTAAACCTGGGTAATAAGCAAGCCAGCATACTTGAATACCTCCCCACTCTTCGCAGTATCTGTAGGTCTGAGAAGCTTAAAGAGCAAGGGAAGACTAAAAGAAGGTAAGTTTTGGGTTTCCTAAGTCTTGCTACATTTCAATAAACAGGGTAGTTAAGAATTTTAATAAAATATTTTGTTAAGTAATTCTAGACAAGAAAGGTGAATGTTTTCCTCTCTAAAGAATAAAAATGTTGCCTTATATTTGGAAATAACTTTGTCCTCTTATAGTCACTTTTACTTTTCTTTTTGTAGGTTCTTGCATTACCTTGAAGGGATTCACCTCAAAATACCAAGACAAATGATAAATGGTCTGTCTCTGGACTTCCCTTAAAACTGCTAACACCAGAAATACTTTGTGCCTAATAGTGGTATTCTCACCATAGTTTGATTTAAAAAAAAAAAAACAAAACAACAAAAACAACATATTATTTTATTGTATATTCACTTGAATTTGTATATTAAATTTCTATAACTATTTAAAATAATGTATATATCTATTGTCATGATATTGCTCTCCACAACTGAAATGTGGGTTGGTTTGGTGCTTGTCCAGTAAGTGCATTTATAATATTAAATGCACAAACTGATCAATGGGGACTGCTTCATACTCTTCCTCTGTAATTTGTGTGTCACATAGCAAAAGTCCTTTTGTAATGAGCAACTGTCACAACTTCAACAGCAAAGTTGCTTTTTTCTGAGAAGACTGTTTTATTAAAATAAGTTTGTTTCTTTCTGAATTTGCAGTTAAGTGTTAAGTAACCTGGGGTGGGAGGGGGCACAGAGGGGATGCACGTAGTCATCTAAAATGTAAATTAGTAACACCAACTCTTCACAATAATGACTGGGTAACAAAGTCATTACAAAGCACTGTGCCTCAATGTACATATATTCATATACATTGGTTTAATTTTGTTATTTTCAGCTGTCAGATCTGCATGTTAATCTCCTGAAAAGGTAGAGAAATGATTACTGTAGCTCAAGATGGTCTCAGAGATTAGGCAAGATTTTGTAAATAACAATTACCCCAGTGTTACTCTGGTTTCAGTAATATTTAATTACTTCTAGTCTTGTATATTGTGTTCTATTTTTATACTTCATTTTGTATTTGACAAGACTTCAGTTTGATTATTTGTGATCGAATCTGTTTTTATACAACAATAAATTTGTGAGACTTTGCTACAATTCTTAATATTTCTGTTGTATGAAAAGTAGGAGTCCTACTTTAACTGGAAATATTTCAACCATGTACTTTTGTGCATTTATATTGCAGTTGGACTGTTTCTCTTCCTCAGACTGAGTCAGATGGGTGCCATGCAGTGGTACTCCACTTACCTCAATGTTTCTGTAATAATAAGGAAGGCCATTTTCTGGTACATTCTGTTCTCATCTTATATTTTTCATGTCTTTAAGACGTTCAGGAATGAGAAATATTTATGAAAACAGTAAATTATTCTAAGCTTCTGCATTGTAGATAATAATCTTTATAGCTTACTCTTTCAGAAGCCCAGAATTATCACACAAGAATGAAATAAAGTGGTGGCTGTTAAAATCTGAATGGGTTGTATTGTTATGTCAACGGTCTAAGCAACTCCTGTACATTTTTGTAAAAATAAATAAATTTTTAAATTTTTTTTTAATAACAAAGTAAAAGTGCATCTGTTCACTGCTTTATAAAGGCAGTCTCAATCTAACTAGATTACAGTGAGGACCTACATAAACTGGGAATGGGCCCTATAAAGTATTATTGTTTTAGGAAATTCATGGGTAATTTAAAAGACAAAGTAGAAATCAATGGGAGACAATCTACCACCTTTTGAAGTGAACTTTTGTTATAATAATTGGCTTAAGATTTTTTTTTTCCATAGAATCTCCAGGCTATGGTATCCAAAAGGAGTCCAAACGGTAAGGTGGAATTAAAGTATTTAACTTCTTGATAAGATACTTGTGTGCAATTACCACATAAAAACAACTCAAGCTAGTTTGAGGAAAGATAATCTACTTGTGCTGATTTATTTGAACTCTGATAAGCAAGCAACTTTGCATTTTTATGCATCAAATATGAGCATCTTCTGTACGCTGGGAGAAAGCACGTTTCTATGAGGGATGGGCTGGTCTTGAGAAAAAGAGATCTGGTTTTGATTAACTCGGCTGAAAAGGTAATGCTTCACAAGATCCATTCCAGTACTGTGGAAGTCACCTACCTTTGATTCAAAATGTTTTCCTGCAATAGTTTGGGCCCTGCTTAGCAGAAAACACCTTTTCTTACAAAACATAAAAATCAGCTTCAGGCATCTTGAGAATGACTGAAGATACCTGGAAAGGAAAACCAAAGAATTCAGTGAAACCAGAAGTAAAAAAGCCCTGGAGTTTCACAATGACTCTACACCCTATTTAAGCAGCAGTTACTGCTAGGTGTACAGTAATTTAAAAACAGAAAAACAACAAACGTGGTGTTCTTGTTGAAATCTCAGTCAAGTTTTAAGATTTTCTTTCTTGTTACTGTCATTGCAATATTGCTTTCTAGAATGCAAATAAAGTTGATGTTACTCTACAATCCGATGAGTAATACAGAAAAAAAGCAGTTAAACGTTAGGCACGTTCTTGCAAGCATACGGTGTGTTAATACTAATGCAGAGAAAAGGAGAAGGAAGGAAGAATCCCTTTACAAGCAAGACTATTTCAGTCTTTGTAAAAGCCCCAAAACAGGGCAAGATGTATCTTCAGAGCTGGGAAGGACGTGTCCCTTGCAAGTTGCAGAAAGACGCTGCAGCTCAGCCTGAGTGTGACGCTGTAAGAAAAAATCATGCAGCTTCTGACCAATGCTGGGTTTTTTTGGTGGTGGGTTTAGAGGTTGTCTTGAATATAAATAACCATTTTGCAAATGTCATACAGATTGTCTTTTTTTTATTTTACAGGATTTGTAAGGTCACCACACAAATTAAGCTAGCAAGAGAGCTTCAGTGTATGGCTCGCAAGAAGATTATCTCTGGGGAAAACTAAACCCACGTTCACACTCTAGTATACAACAGTTCTTAAAAGGTAAGTGCTGAAAAGGGAGATTTTTTGTAGACAGTTGAACAATTCAACTTTTCAGATATTCTGCTGCTGTTTAACTTTATTTCATGACTTCACAATATTTCAAAAAATAAAAGATACAATGCTATTCAGTGCCTAAAAAGGTGGAAAAAAATGTGTCAGTGCTTTCAGCTGGTAATACATCTCTACTATAGTATTTTGTCAATCTGTGAAGTCAGTAACTACACAGTGTTTTTACAAGATTATGCATAAACTTTACTAAAGAAGAACTGCATGTTATAGTGCACTACAGTAATGAAAGTTAACTGTGCCAATTAACTTGAAACCAGTAAAATGAAAAATATTTTAATATCTTTTAATCTTTAATTAACTTTCTTGAGTTTTTTTCTGTCATCTTAAATGTCTCTCTTTTGTCTTTTTCTTTCCTTAAGTAAACTGAATATTAAGTCACCGACTTTTTGACATTGGCTTTATACTGAGAGAGGGACATTTTCATGAGGCTTTGCATATCCTGAAATGCCCCGTTTTCCCTGGGTTAAGTGGTGCTGGCAGGTTTTTTTTCCTTGCAGCACTTTAGCATCACTCAGCTCCTTCTCAGCCACTGCACCGAGCGTTTGCAGGGTGACAAACCTCTGCTGAGGAGAAGGTAACTCACCTGCTGTCTGGTCAATGTGATAAGCTGCTCTGTTATGTAGCAGAGTTATTAAAATTAATTTTTTTAGAGATAAACCTGAGGTGGAGTTGAGGCAAACGTGTAGGTGCGCGGATGAGCCCTCCTCCTGGAAACTGGACCCTTGACAATGACTTTTCAGAGCAGAAACCCCTCATCCTCCCTCCACCCAGCGCTGTGCGAAGAACGAAAAGGCTGATCCCGTGAGGAGCGGCGGGGCCG